CCGAGAACGGACCCCGCCACTGACATCGACGGCAACCCCTAGAAACCCCTATGAGGGCAATTCCGAAGGCGAGCACTTTTGCGTACCCCGAGGCCTCTGGCAATCAAAACACATGCGAAGGTCCAGGCTGTTGGAAAGGATGGTTAGATTTGCGCGGAGCCTCAAAGCCCACTGGGAACCGAACGTGGCGGGCACCGGAACAGCGAGTAACCGGTTTTCGCGTGGCTGGATTTATTGGAAGGGCGCATTAGCGGTTGCACAGAAGGAAGGCTATGCGTGGGTGCACCGCATCATGAAACGACCCATCGTGGCTTGCAACCGACCCCTATAAACCCCGATTATCTGCGCCTTCGCTGCGAATTTCTATGGCCTCAACTATTGCGAAATTAGCGTGGAAATTCGAGGTTTGCATTATTTTCGCCACATCAGGGTTTCCAAGGATCGTGTGAACAGGAAAAACGGAAGCACGTTCGTCGCTGTGCTTGCTGAAGCAGGCAATGCCAACGCTCAAACACGCGAGGACGTTGAGGCGAATCAGGTTTCTCCGGGGTTGCGTAGGGGTCTTCCATCCATGGTGTCATTTGTTGAATCGGAACACGACGGTCTTCGAGTCTCACGCACTGTTTCAGTCGATCCTGTCATCTCACCGTAAATCCGCACTGATTATGACAACGCTCGAACATGTTGAAGTTGCTTTCGCATCATGCGAGAACGCTTCCTTGATGTGGAGAAAGGGGGTTTCACAGGGGTCGCTCGGGGGCCATGCTTAGTCACGTTACAATATGGTGCACAGTGCACCCACGCACGGTCTTGCACTGCCGACGATTCAACCAAAACCCACATTACACCAAACTGTCGTGGCCACAGGCAAAGTCTGCAATGCCTAAAAACCCCGTGTATGGAAACTTAGAAGGCGAGTTCTTCTGCTCACTGTGGTTCCAGGCCGTTTCGCGTCGAGCTGCAGTCACGCGTGGCCAGTATTTTGTGCACACAACGGTCCAACAGTGGATCCGCTGCAGACGTGCAAAAGAACGACTCCTCGAGGCTCCTGCAACTGCCAAGTTCGGATCCCGGCGGACTATGAGGGTATGGGTCAATCTGACCGTCCTTTTCGACGGTTTCGACCATCGCACTTGTTCTGAGCGGTTGCCAGTGGTCGCTTCGGTTTGCGGTCAGCCCTGTGTTTTAGTTGCTCTCCCCGTGATGCCAGGGGTACCATGGGGGCCATGCAGACTCATTCCATATATTGGGGAGGCAAAGCACATCCCATGTAAACCTCGATGTCGACACTGAGAATGCGAGCTCGTTCGCTGGCACTGCTAATTTCCGCGGGTCGAACGTTGTCAACATAAGCGTGGGAACTTGGTCGCTGACAGGTTCAGATCCCGGCACAAACCCGCGCTGATTTTGACAATGTTGTCACCGCTGGAATTTGCAGTGACAGCGAACGAGCTCGCTTTCTTGATGTTGAAATCGGGGTTTGCCCGGGTCCCATGGGGGCCATGCCGAGTCATTTCGTAATGTGTGAAGGCAAAGCATAGCCTTGCATCGCGGGGAGAGCAACTGAAAACCAGGGTTGACCGCAAACCGAAGCGACCACTGCCACCGTCGACAACCCCTCAGACTCTTTGAGCGATGGTCCAAGCCGTCGAGAAGGACGGTCCGATTGACCCGTACACTCAAAGTCCGTTGGGATCCGAACTTGGTAGTTGCAAGAACCTCGAGGAACCTTTTTTTGTGCGTGTGCAGGGGATCCAGTGTTGGACCGTTGTGTGCGCACAATAATGGCCACGTGTGGCTGCAGTACAGCGCGAAACAGCTGGGCACGGTCCCCAGGCGACCCCCGTAAACCGAGACTCTCTCCATCGAGAAATCACGCTCGCGCTATTGCACAACAGTTGTATGCAGGCTGACGCACAAGCTGCTCATCGCGGATTTGCTGAAAAATGAAATGACTGTCGTGGCTGAAAGACCACTCTACAACCCCCATAAACCCCGGTTCGCCCAATCGACAAGGCGAGCTCGAGGGTGCTTCAACCTCGCGTGCTCGCACGACGGAGAACATCTTCAAGAAGAACATAACGTGAACCTCTAAGTTCGCTAAGATCCGAACTTGTCGTTTCCTGCGATTGCGTTGGTTGCACCGCTGAGAGGGCAAACAACGATAAGTTCGGATCCCGGCGAACTTTGAAGTCACACTGCATCCTCCTCTACGTTGGAATGCATCATGCAACTGTCTACATCAGAGACTTTTTGTTGGTTTCTAGCTGAGGTGCTTTGCGCGTAGTTCACCGGGATCCGAAGTTCACGAAAATTGGGCACCGCGTACTCGACAACCACGTCCCACACAAGTTCGTTGAAAGAGGGTTGTCAGCAGTTAATCGCGGGTTCGAGAACTGGTGGAGAGAAGCGTTTTCGGGGAACGTGTTTGAGGAAGCCCCACCGGATCCAAAATTATCAGATAACTTTTTTCGGGAACCGGAGTGATATGTTTATGTTGCCCTCGTCTCAGTAAAGTTGTGAATTCCACGAATCCGCCGGGATACGAACTTCGAAGCAAGCACCATGAACAACATACCTCAACATTGACGTTCCAGACGTCGATTCCACATCAATAGTTCGCAGGTTGATTGCGCGGCATCATACGTAGTTGTGCAAGACCACAGTTGTGGATGACACGTGTGAAACGAATGTGACGAAAGTAGTGAGCCTGGCCAGCGAAGTCCGGACCTGGGCGAACTAACACAACCCAATCGCGAACACGTGTTTCGAAGCCAGCGAGCGCAGTCATCATTCTGCGGCCAGATCACCATCATTTCTGAGATGCTCGTCGACTTTACCATCAACGCGCTCGTTGGCAAATGATAAGCATGTGGGCGCGAGTTTAGCACAATGGCACCGCCATCGTCAATTCGTGTCGTAGTGATCATCGGCCTCCGCAAACGGACCTCATCCGGTCGTCGACGATCACGACACGAATGACAATGGAATCCCGTCAACTGGCGGGAATCTTATGCCGCGTCGACAACGTCAAACAATTATCGCGCGATAAAGAATATCGCGCGAGCCGCATGTGCGCGCGCTATCAAAGGCTCATCATGTTTTCCCTTTTCCCACTTCACAACGGGAAGGCTATTGCGATTACCACGTGGCGACCGGGGAATAACATGTTATTCGTTAAAATAGGACATTACACTGTGTCCTCTTTCTAACGAATTCATTTTTGGCTGCATTCCAAGCAACGTAGGCACGCCCATCCAGGGCTTAAGCACATGCAGAAGTATGCTGAGATCCGTACTTGTGAAACTTTATAAATGATATCCCAAATGAGGAAGCGTGTTCAAACCCGTACATGTTAGGCACACCGCACGGGAACCTTGTGCAGAAGTGTGCCTGGATCTTTACTTGCTGAACTTCAAAAACGTGGCACTGCTGGGAATCCTGTGCGGAAGTGTGCTGGGATCCGTACTTATTAAACTTCATAAACGAATAACGATAGGCACGCCCATCAGGGAACCCTGTGCGAAAGTGTGCTGGGATCCTTACTTGTTGAACTTAGAAAATGTGCCGAGAATCTTGTGCCGAAGTGTGTCGGGATCCGTACTTGTTAAACTTCATAAACGAATATTGACAGGCACTCGCATGAGGGAACCCTGTGCGGAAGTGTGTTGGGATCCGTACTTGTTAAACTTCAATTCCATAATTGTGATGAGCAATGTGTCATGATTACATCCTCGTTGAATAATTATATTAGAAGACGTAGAGCTACGTAGCACCGTGTTCGCGTTCGGAGGAGAACGCGAACATGTTCGCCCGAACGCGAACAAGCGCCCAAAACCCTCCGAACGCGAACATAAAAAATATTAAAAAAAAAAAAAAAAAGTTTCTTAAAAAATTCTGAAAACAATATATGTTATGTAAAATAATAAAACAAGCAATGTTTGCCTTGGAGTCATGTTCAAATTCTCAGCCAATCATGAGTTAAAAATCAAAAACCGAAAAATAATGTTTTTTTTTTTTTTTTTTTTACGAAAAACAAATATGTTCGCAACCTGTTCGCACAAACATGTTCACGACCTGTTCGCGCGAACGCGCAAACACGTTCGCCATGCTACGCAGACGTAGAATAGCGACAGGCACACCCATCAAGGATGTCTGTGCGATAGTGTGTCGGGAGCCACACTTGTCAAACTTCAAGTTTGTAAATGTGATGAGCAAGGTGTCATGATTGAATCCTTGTTGGATAATACTATTTATTTCTTTTATGCGTGAGTTGTACATGCATGGCAGTCATCTTGCCCGAGGCGGTTGTTTGGATGTTGTAGAGATTCAGACTTCTTTAGAAGTACAAACAATTTTTTTGACATACAATTTATTTTTCTCGGTCACGAACGCAAAATTGTCGGTTACATGTACCTCAGGTGGTCACAAGTACATGATTGTCTATGCACACAAGAGACGTGATGTCACTGGTCTTTTACTCTTTGCATAACGGACCTCACACCCACACACTCGCCGAGATTTGTCTTGCATCCACACTCCAATTCGTCATGTCGCACCACACACACGAATATCATTTCGAGGTGAATTATATGCACAACTTTGGATGACCTGGACACAATTTGCAACGAGGACTGCAATGCGATGAATGTAATGGCACGACAGACGAGCCGGACCTGACAGAGATTCCGAAGGCAACACGCGACGCCAGACTGACAGTCAACATACCAAAGACAACTCAAACTCGCAACACCAAAAGAAACGAATGTCGTTGTGAAAGCGACAGTTAAAATATGAAATATTCTGAAACAGAAGTTTGCAAATCAATCGAATCCATCAAAGACAACGGCATTCGAAGATACATGATGCCAATTATCGTTTAATATGCGGAATATTTTTACAAGAGAACCTGAAAGGCGGTCGATCGCCACGTTGCAACAGTGTCGCAAACATCAACATAAACACCCCGCAACTAACTCCATCCTCTTATCTTGGAACTCCCTCTATAACAACATTTGTTGCTACCGACTTCCAACTCCTACACGACCGCCTATGTGATGTTTGACATTCCAAATAGTGTAAGATCAACTCGAAAACACTAAGGTAAAAACTAGAATCGGCTACAACGCAAGAAAAAAAATCGAAAATCTCAAGAACATTATCTCTCAAGTTCACGGAAAGGAGGATCGAGTGATCGTTATCTTTGAGGACTGGAACAAAGATAATATCATATTAAAGCAGATCCACGTTTTTAGCCCATCTTTCCACCCCCCCGTGTCCTTGAAGTTGTAGTTTACTGAAGAAGAAAGAATTAAAGCTGAAGACTTGAAGGCCTGACGCGATGTCACGTATCCCATATGCGGTCATTCCCAGTAGCGCCATGTAAAAGTTGACCACCTCATCATTCACCCTGCCGTCAGTAAGTGAGAGGGTGAGAATATCCTTCGCTGCAATTCGCAACTGACCATCGCCGAGGGTCAAGAGTATAGGGTTAGGTGGCACCAAGCCTCGTTCCATGTCATTCAAAACCCGCAAGCTTCCAATCGCAGTCACTGCTGTTCCATGTGTCGTGGCCCGCACTGCACAACATCGAGCAAAGGATAGGGGGGGAAGTGAGAAACGGAACTCTAAGGATTCTCCTTCATCGCACGACGAGTAGCTAAGTATTTCTCATACATGGCCTGACCCCTAGTCACAGATCGTGGATAGGTCCCTTTCTCTGGGGGCAGAAGGGAAAGACACTCCTCAATGGCAATGGCATGCTCCTTCTTCCCCATTTCGACATCAACCCCTGACGCCTTTAACATGTCCTTGTGTTTTGTCGTCAACCCGGGGACTGTCTGCAATATGTGTTCCGGATATTTAGAGGGCCTCCGTGTTTGAGACGACCCTACCCCTGTACAACAGAAGAAAGACAAAACGGAAAATGAATACACGTTTTCGAAAAAGAACCCGACGAAAGGACAATTAAAGAACCACAAAATCTAAAAGACGCAGGACCTATGCAATTACAGAACCCCGTTATGCCATGAGAGTGCGAGAGAGAGAACTTCCGCATGAGCCACGCTGCAAAACAAAATGACCAGTGCACTCGAGCTCGACACCCCCGCCCTTCAGCAGGGAAAACCACAACAAGTCACAGAAGCGGAAGCCAAACATCTCTGAAGTCCGGATCCCGGCGGACTTTTCCAACCCAGGGAGATGACCCAACCCCTGTACATCCGAAGGAAGAGAAAACGGAAAATGAATATACGTAATCCAAGACGAATTCGACATAAGCGACAATTGAAGAACCACGAAATGTAGAAGACGCAAGACCTATCTAATTACAGAACCCCGTTTAGCCATGAGAGGGATAGAGAATACTTCCGCGCAAGCCCCGCTGGAAAACAAAAGGAGCAGTGTTCGACCTCGATACCCCCACCCTTCATAAGGGAAAACCTCAACAAGCCACAAACGCGGAGGCCAAACATTTTCGAAGTCAAGATCCCGGCGGACTTTTCCCAATCGAGGCATAAAAAGAGTAACTGCATTACGCAGCGGCCTTGGCAGTGCGGATCCCGGCAGGCTAAAACCACCACTCATTCCGGAAAAGAAACACCATCCTTCCATTATGTGAGGGAACGGTTCAACAAAAACACACATGTTTTTGTCTCGTATGCCCTGCACACGACCAATGACCTGGCCGACTCATAGGATGGTCGTTCACATGTACTTGGAAGTTTGAAGGAGTGGTGGTTGTAGCATGCCGGCATCAGGAACTCCCCGCATCGACAAACACTACGGTTACTGACGCGCAGACAGAGTGGCATTTGGCACTGCTTACCAGCTGGTTTGTCTCTCCGCTCCTTACTCGGTGAAGTTGGCGCGGGCAAGGCCAGCACGTCGAGAGCTCGAGTGCCGGCGACAATTTTTTTCGGGGACGTGACATCTTGTCGTCCCCGGATCTCGCCTTCTCCTCCGGTGGCGATGGTCGACGGCAGCATCGGAGAGTTCGTCGGCGAGAAAGCCACGACAGATCCCGCGGAAGGTTTGACGTCGAGAGGGTCGTCGACACCAGGCGTCGAGGACGGCTGCGCGGACATGTGGTGGTCGCCCAGGATGCCGTCGATAACTTCTTCGACGTCAATATGTACACTCGGTTTAGTCAAGCTGACTGCAACACGAGCTTCGTTGAACCGGTGTTGAAGATCGACGACAGATGTTATTGCTTGGACCTCATAGTCATCACATTCTGCCGAAAGGCTTGTGACCACCTGTGTCTCCATATGCGGTGCCATGTCATCGTCGTCGTCGTCTTCCTCGCGATGTTCTCCGTACAGCTGCCCGAATCCGTCAGACGACTCCCCAGATCTGTCATTGTCGTCGCCGAACGTCCGTTCGTCGTCTCTAGTATCGGGTTCCCCTTTTTCCCCTTCCTTCCCTCCTAGCAACCCACCCAACTCCGTTTCTTCCCCTTCCTCTCCTTCATCCTCTTCTTCCTCCCCTTCATCCCCTCCTTCCTCCAATTCCTCCCCTTTGTCTCCTTCCTCCCCTTCCTTCTCTTTGTCCATCACCTTGCCTTCTTCCCTTGCATGCAATCCAGCCACTTCGCCCGAAACCGTGTCAAATTCCGACGAATGCCCTTCCCGCCCGCCGCACGCAGCCCCTCCCGTCGGCACCACAATCCCTGGTTGGCCCCCCTTGCCTGAAGAAGTTCGAATCCTGGTGAACTTTGCCGTCTCCCTGTCATCGGACCCTCCACACGTACCCTCTCGCTCCGCCCGAAGCGGTTGTTGATCCCCCGCAAGCGGCGCATTCCCGTCCCTCACCGCACCGCTGTCTATTTTGGGATCACGACTCGCCACCCCCGCTCCTGACCAGCTCTGAGCGTTCGTCCTCTTTGTCCGCTCTGCAAGCATTGAAGTTCGGATCCCAGCGGACTTGAACGTTTCGACCGAGCCGGCACGGAGAGCAACCAAGGCCGCCATCACCGAGCCGGCGGATGAAGTGGGCACGTCCGCTGACTGTGCCGAGCCTTCCGGACTGGGACCGGTAGACTGCTGACGCCCGAAGGCCTCCCCCGCCACCCCGCCGCTGCCTTCCGCTGTCGTGGTGTCGTCGTGAGACCCGCCCTCCGAACCAGGCGGGACTCCTTTGCCACCCCCAACCTCGTCGCCCTCGTTCTCCCCACCGTCCGGTCCCCGGGACCCTGTACTTACATGCGTCCCACTGGGAGGGGGGATTTTCCAGTCCACCCTGCCCTTCGAGGGGCTCGTATTGAGGTCGTAGTAGTCCTCCGTCGGCTCCAACCAGCACTGGTCTTGAAGTTCGGCGAACAATCGCCCGGCTGTGGAAATGACGGACACGTCTTCGGGTGCAAAAGAGTCATTCTCGGCCCTCACTTTCTGGAGGACCGCGATTCTAGCGACGTAGAGGAAGTCAGACTTCGACCCGCAAGGGAGGGGCATCCATCCTCCGTCCGGGACAGCGACGGCCACGATCCACTCACCCTTTTGGATCGCGGGCTGGATGACTCCTGGATGCCAAATCATGTCATGGCCCCAGTCCGCCTCCGTGGAACGACTTTGAGGCTCAGGCAGGAAGTGAATGTTGGCATCCTTCCAAGACAGATGATCGGGCGGGATGTCAGACCCGGGACGTAGTGAGCGATGGTCAGAGGCCAGAGCCTGCAGTCTCTGCAACAACTTCATCGGTGTAGTGCCAGGCGCCGGTTTCGCCATCGGTGACACGAGGGATGTCGGGCTTGTTGACGGACCTACCAAGGACGACCCTGTAGCGTGCTGCGCGGGATGTGGGTCGTACTGCAGGTCGAGGCTTTCGGTGTCGCTGCCCTCCTCGTCCGCGGTCACGTCGAACTCGATGCCGGTGGTCTCCTCGTCTTCCGTGGAGATCAAGGAGGAGTAACTGCCGAACGTCAACTCCTCCTCTCTGACTCCACGAAGTACAGGGACTGCAACCTCTCGAGGAAGGTCTTCGCGTTCATGAGGGAGGCGTCGTGGTAGTTGTCGAGCAACGTGAATACGTGGTCCTTGCGGCGCACATACTCGGCGTCAGTGTCTTTCTTCGGCCGCGTTTGCAGGAACAAGAAGTCGTATATCTTGTTCTGCTTCCTCGCACTCAACTTGAACCACATGTCCTTCTTGTTGTTCCACGCGCGAGCCCAAGTCTCGGTGACGACCATGAACTCGCAATTGTGGGCACCCGAATTGACCTCGCTTTTGACGAGATCAATTGTTAATTGCAAGAGCTCAGAGTTCCCTTCCATCGCGATGACGTGCCGCCCTGCCTTCAGTACTTCCCACACTAATCGCGTGTGTGGCTTCCCGAGGAAGACGACACCCTCCCCCTTCTTGGTGACGGATTCGAGAAGATTAACGAATTGCGCGGGGTTGCGTTCCATGTCCCCGTACACATTGCCCTGACGTGCAGGCGAGGTATAAGACCAGTTGCAAGGGTTGAATGGGATGTCGGACACATCCGTTTGCGTAACCTTCTGTGGTAGCCGCACTGCAGCAGCGGCGCCTGCCGGTAGTTTCCCCTCGTAGACGACGGACGTGTTAGCGTGCAAATCGTCGCCTTTGAAGAGTATGTACATCCGGTCGTCTTCCGTGTACGAATTGTTCCCGACGGGGAAGCTTTTCTTCTGTTGACTCCTCCTCACCCACTTCCCTTCCAGCAGCTTGAAGAATGAAAGATGGTTCATGCTGGCCAGAAAGGAGAGGTTATGATGCCACGGGATGAAAACGACGAGCGTCCAATGCGACGGACACCACGTCTGAAGTTGGGAATCCAGAGTGTCGAACGCTTGCAGTTTCCAAAGCTTCAGGTCCACCGGTTCGCACAGATTGAGGATGAACGTGTGACTCTTTGTGGCAACCACTGCCTCCTTCACCTCCGCACTCCTTATGTCTGCCTCCAAGGGGTGGTTGCCGAATGGCGCGATGGATGTCATGTCGCCCGTGTCTTTCCATTTTATGTGCACAATGCCTTCGGCGAGTGCGATCTCGCGACTCTTCAGTCTACCGCCAGTCAACACGGACAGGACCTTATTCCTCCAGTCGACGGACAACTTCTTGTGACCGGCCAACTTCTCCATCGCCTCGATCGATTTGTCGTCGTCGCAGCCCATGTAGGGCAGGAAGTCCTCGAACAGCGAGGAGTCAGTGACTTATTTCCTGCTCCCGTCCCACAACTCAGCATCCAAACCACGACTCTCAAACTGTCTGAAAATTGCGGACCTTGATTTCAGGAACGAGCACCTCTGGCTCCAATCCGCGTCCGGCTTTTTGTCATGCTTGAACTGGTAGTAGTTCCACAGATGCACTAGCACCCGGTCGCACTTCACCAAATGCACCATCTCCTGGACGCTCAGCTTTCCGAGCTTCGCCAACGCCAGGGAGCCGGCCTGGACCCAAACCAGCTTGCAAGCGAGCACCTTCTTCAGGACGCGGCACTTCTCGTTGTCGGTCAGCGAGTCCATCGTTTTCCAACAATGCGCGTCCTGCTCAGGCACTTGCACGAACCACTCGCCCTCCTCTTTCTCCTTTTTGCCTTTCTTTGTCGGCGGGTCCACAGGGACGTTGTACACGACCTCCTTCCTGCCCAGCTTGTCGTTGTCGATGTAGGCAACCCCAGGCTGCACGTTTTTGACTTTCTTCTTCCGCATGATCCACTTTGCGCCGTCGTGTCCGAGCAATCCGCCTGTCTCCCATTTCTCGAAAAACTCGACGGCTAGTTTCCATACGTTCTCCCCTGCCATCGCCAGCGGGAAATAGGAACGCAGGGCAGTGCCTTGTTTCCTGATGGCCTCCTCGCCCTTCTGATCTACGAGAATCCACAAGTTGTTGTGCGGTGTCATATTGAGCGCGACATTACATAATTCATGCCACTTCCGGACCTGACTCTGTTTTCCGCTGGGGTTCCCCATAACAGCACGCAGGCCACCGGCGCGCTTCCACTGCCACCTAATGTCTCTCATTGACAGCTTCAGCTGTCGTGGGGGCGTCTTCAGGTCCTTCTTGTTGTCCTGGGAACTGACAAGGAAGTACCCTTCGAAGTCGTCATCCGAAAAGTCGACCATTCGTGCAGGCCACCGCTCGAAATTGTATTTTCTGGCCACCTCGCTGCCGAGCAGCGACCTCGCTGCAGCCGTGTTGTGCTGCCCACACACCTCGTAGTAGTAGTATTGTCCCGCCAGCTCATCCCTCCAATCCTCTGGCCTCAGACGTTCTGCCTTGGTCCCCGGAGTCGGTTTATCAAGCCCCAACGGTACCAGCTTCAGGGTAGGTAAATCGTAAGACTGCACTTTATTTTCAAACGCCAACCGCATCACTTCTTTGATCCCTTCCACGAGCACGGGATCCAGGGACCGCTGGTTGTACAGGTCCTCCCTGTCCCCGAGGTCGACGACCTGCGCAGGGCTAATCTCAAACTCCCGCTTTGTCCGAACGCGACCCGGCGTCGACGTCGATGGGAGTCCCTGTTGTCGGTGGAGAAGACGGTCTAGACTCAGGCTGCTTCTGACTCGAAGACTGTCGTTTGGCAACCTGCCGGCCTTGCTCCCCCTCGGTCCCCTTGTGTTTCTCCCCCGCACTCCTGGGGGGCTTGCTCTTTAACTTCTTCGCAGAACCGGCGAACTCGTCTGGACGATCCCCCCTCCTCTTTTGTGGAGCCCCTTGCGAGCCCAGGCCGCCTGTGGTTACCTGCTCTACACTCTGGCCCTCGCTCGCCTCCAAGTCGACCTCCGACGAGGCCTCCACCTCTCCTGCAGGTTCCGTACTCTCCCGTTGAACCGGAGCGTCAGTCTGAATCCCAGGAATAGACAACACAGACCGCTGTCGTCGAACTGACCTCGGCTCTCGCCACGGTGCAGCTGAGTAGCAGGACCAGAACCCAGATCACTCGCAACTGCCGCACAGCCTCAACGGCAACAAGAGCTCCAGGGAGGGGCCGACGTCGCAGGGGACGTCGAGAGCGATGTTCCTGTCCTCCAACATGTCGAAAAATTCATGCGCCAAAACAAAACCGCCCCCAAGAACGAGTTGTCTGTAGAACGGGGTGTTCACAACACCCGCTTCGAACCCCTCACACAATTCGAGGTCCAACAACGTCCCTTTCGAATTCGCAACAACGTTGCCCTTGGCGCCATAAACCTTTTGCATATAGAAATGTTGTCGGCCCCCCTTCGCGTCCTCCCACCGCAAGACGGCCCCAAGCACTCTACGCCTTCTGCTGTCATTGATGAAGATGACAGGACCACATGGCTGCGCAGTGGGGTTGGAAGCGTCTCCACAGCACTAGTCGATGAACCATTTCGACCTCGAATGGTTCGACCACCCCTTCGTGGCAGTAGACGACCGCCTCGTGGAATCTTTTCCTGATTCCTTCCCGTAGGTCCCTGTTGGCTCCACCTCGCCCTTGGAAGAAGACATACTGTCTGCGAACGACAATGCAAATCAAACAACACACCATGAAGTCAACGTCTGGCAAAACACAGGAGAAACAGAACAGTCGTTGCCGCACGTCAACGCAGGCTGTAGCGCAGCGAAATCCGCACACAAAGACACCCCGACACCCAAATCCGGAACGGTGAGAACGAGTAGTCCGCCGGGATCCGAACTTCAAGAGGGTATGAGACCGAGAGGCAGACAGAGAGAGAGAGAAGCAAGTGAAACGTCGCAGTGTGCATGGGATCAAGCGCTGTTTATGCGGCAGACGGGACACCCGGAAGAACAAAGACAAACCAACGCACAGTGAAAATTGAGAAGTCCGCCGGGATCCGAACTAAAGGACGCTGCGTGAGATAGAGACGGCGGAATCAAAATTCGGGAATTTTTCGCGGGAATCAACGGGCAGTCATGTTCGAAGCTCGCGCTCGGCGAGGTAGTGTCCCCCGCGTAGCACTCGAAACCCGGACAATCCAGCACTTGAAGTCCGCCGGGATCCGAACTAGAAGAGGGTGCGAGAGACAGAGAGAGACTCAACCATGCAGCCAGTGTCCCAGAACCGTGCTCGAGCAAACGCACTCCGAAACTGTTGTCGGGCGGGTTGTGCGATCCACCCGGAACCACGAAGACCGAAGACAAACCAACGCACCTCCCGAAATGTGAAGTTCAACGAGATCCGAACTTCAGGACGATGCGACAGGCAGAGACGGCGTCAGAGACACATGATCCGCAAGTCTATGGTTGTTAAACTCAACCACGACCCGGGAAGGCCACATTGAAATGAAAGGCTGGTTGAAATGGAGAAGTCCGCCCTAATCCGAACTTCTTCAGATGTCCGATTTCGCGATATGCACAGCTTGGCACTGGATGAACCCAAGTTCGAAAGCGGCAGCCGTGACAATATTTTAGGGGTCCCTGGACTCGGGCTGTTGTCGCAATCCACGGGGGATCCGGAAGACCACCGTCTGTTCCAATAGACAAGCGACACTGGAAGTTCGCCGGGATCCGAACTTCAGGAGGCTGCGAGAAAGAGAGACAGAGAGAAATACTGGAGCAACTATGAGTCTAGACGCAAGACGGGGTCCGACCAAGGCGCTCGAGGAAAAAACTCGGGGTCTCACAGCTGACTGCAGGTTTTGATGGCAGCAGTCATTGAGTCCGTCTGCGCAACTGGCCGCAGTTGCGATCCTGCATCTCTAAAGACTGCCCGAACAAATCCAGGCGGAATTGATTGCAGAACCGTTTCGGACTCCGCCCAACACTCGAAACTCGAAGGCCGGTCGGACGCACATGCCAAACCGCGAAGTTTGCCGAGATCCGAACTTCAGCAGGGCGCGACACGGAAAGAGACGGCGTGCACTAGCAACTGCTGCCTCCCACACGTTTCTCCACTACTCAAAATCTACCATTTTCGGCAGCACACAAGCCTCTCAATCGTCTCCCTTCTTTTCGCTTAAACACAATGTCCAACCACACGTCCATATCTTGTGACATTCGGGGTTCCTCAGGGACGAGGTCGTGAACCGAAGCCATACAAAGCATTCATTGATGATCCGTAAACGCGGATCAGCGGATCGTCGACCGTTGCACTCTCCGAAAAGACGGACATGTATTTCATCCTAACAAACACTCCTGGTCGTGCTAAGGAATTCCCTATACGGTCCCGTATGTCGGACACTTTCTCCTCGACCTCATGATGCAACGAAAAGTTTTGGACCGACCCTGCTATCACCAAATCTCGCCACCCATCTACACAAGCAGGCCCGCGCGTCGGCACGAATTTGGACCCCTTAATTGCCACCTCGTTGCGTGATACAAGCACAACTGCATCGACGAGTTTCCTACTCTTGTTCGAAGTAGCGACACACAGAACCCTGGCGAAATCAGATCCGGACACAGTTAACCGCACACAACAGTACGACACAGTTTGTGGAGAATTCCCGGGGCAACGGAGCGGGTACTGCTCCAGGAACGGGCAGTGACGAGCGCAGTCCACCAACTCTCGTTTCCGCGAGCCTCCCCAAGTTCGTGGCGACGACGTGACATAGTGGCACTCGAGGCGATCGAAATATCGGCTAATGCAGCTTAGTGCTCTGCGCATGTGGTTCATGAACTTGTGGCCGAGGCAAGTGTCAAGCAGCGGGATGAGGTCCCCAAACTCTATATGTTGGCGAACTTGAACTGGCCTGCCCAAGGGCAGTCACTCTCCATCGTGGCCCAATTGCCGTCGCACCAACCGTCAATATGCCCGTCCATGCACGGGACGACGGTCATCTAGGGGTCCTCCTCGAAGTCCTCTGCGGTCGCTCCCTGGATCGTAGTCACACCGTTGAAATGCCGCATGGATCTCGCACAAGGAGGAAACAGTTCTGCCAAGCGAATGTGCGTCTCGGGACTCATGGTCTGTGGTGTCGAGAAGATCGACTCCATGATCCATGGTGTCGAGAAGGTCACCTCCATTACGCACCCTACACACCACACGCACTTACCAAATGATACACACGGGCACGTTGACACTCGTAAACAGAGTTGGCGAGTAATCAAACGACATTGTCCGCACGGATCGTTGTTGCACTGGCAGTCGACGTTCACAGGCCGTACTTGGAGAACCATCACGGTTCCCAAGACGGGCAGAACGCGGAGCTCGGATCCGGACGAACTTCTGTCATTGTGACAATCCGTCGGACGCCAGAAAGATCACAAACAGAACTCGCATCATGCGAAACCGCGAAGTTCGCCGGGATCCGAACTTGACGATTGTGCGAGGAGCCATGTTTGCGCGAAACGCACGAGGCGGCAAGTCTACCACGACGTGATCATTCGCCATTGTCATGCTGTCCAGTTTCGCTTTCTGCGACCTCTGGTCCTAGAGGAAGTGTACGTTCGAAGACCCATTTTGGAATACCGTGAAGTCCGGACTCGAGCAGACTTGGTGTTCTTGTCACATCCACGGGCCAGCAGGCGAGCCGCTAACATGTCCCGCCAATGGCGGGAACGCAATGTTTGTCGTGATCCGAACTTGGCGAATCTGCGCGGGAGAGACAAAGTTGTCTCTTCGACTCGCCGTCCCAAACATGCTTGAACTTCGGATCCCGACGAACTTCACATTTTCACGAATCTGAAGTTGTGGCAATCCACCGTGCGCCAGAAAGCCCACGGTCAGAACCCTCACCATGCGGAAAGCGAAGTGCGTCGGGGTCCGAACTTGACGATTGTACGAGGAACCGTGCGCGAGAAGTTCGGATCCCGACGGACAACGCATTCTTACGAATCCGTAGTTCGCCGGAGTCTGAACTTGTCGATTGTGCGAGGAACCCTGCACGCGCAGTTAGGATCTGTAGGCCAGCAGACAAGCCGCAAACATGTCTTACGAAAGGCGGGAACCTGAAGTTCGTCGAGATCCGAACTTGGTGAAATTTCGAGGGAGAGACACAATTGTCTATCAAACTCGCCATCCCATGCTTTCTTGAAGTTCGGATCCCGGCGGACTTCACATTTTCACAGGTCCCTCGCTGTGGTTGTGCACTGGGGTTGCACCACATGTTGGGTCTTACGAAAGGCGGGAACCTGAAGTTCGTCGGGATCCGTACTTGGCGAAATGCCGTAGGAGAGACACAGCTGTCTATCAAACTTGCCTTCCCATTCTTTCTTGAAGTTCGGATCCCGACGGACTTCACATTTTCACAGGTCCACCGCTGTGGTTGCCCGCTGGGGTTGCACCGCGTGTTGGGTCTTACGAAAGGCGGGAACCCGAAGTCCGCTGGGATCCGTACTTGGCGAGATTACGTAGGAGAGACACATATGTCTATCAAACTCGCCTTCCCGTACTTTCTTGCAGTTCGGATCCCGACGGACTTCACATTTTCACAGGTCCCCCGATGTGGTTGCCCGCTGGGGTTGCACGGCATGTTGGAACAACTACACAAGTTCGCCTGCATCAGGGGTTCACATGTTGTCACAACTGGCCATCGTAACACGGTCGTTGGCCATGTCTGCCTTCGCACTTGACATGTCGCGAAATCGGTTGGCGGAAGAAGTTCGGATTCCGGCGGACTTCGCTTATCCGACCGAAAGACATCGGTCCCTTGATGCGCCTGCGCATATCGACATGTTTGGGTGGGTGTGCGTTTCGACGAGCGCATTCAAGGGCCAGACGAAAATGCCAATATCCCCGGAAACCGAACTTCTTCCGGTGTCCAATTGCACGATCAGTTCGGTTGGTATAGCCAAGGTCGTGATGGCGGATTGGGACGACCTCGTTTCGATTTCGAGGCCTGTGTCGGCGACGCGGGGTGTGGTGGCTGCTCAACGTTCGTCGTTGGATGACCAACAAGTTTCGATGACCGATGAGGTTCGACGTCTGGTGGCATTCGATGTCTGCCAAATTTCGATGCCCGCCGAGGTTTGATGAGGCGCCAGGTTCGATGGCCAACAAGGTTCGATGGCCGACAAGGTTCGATA